AGTTGATTTTTTTTTTTGCTGTGATCCTATTGCATTGTAGGTTTCGATGTGAGAAATTGCTTTGTTTTCTCTATTAGACTATTTTATTCATTGTGGTAGTTGCGCCTATGCTTTATACATTTTTGTTTACCCCCTAACTAACATAGCTCCTGGAGTACAGTGAAAGATCAGTAATTGAATACATGCATAAAAGAATTGATGTTCTAGCTCATCTCCTAAATATGGCTGTTCAGATTGTGTATTGCCATGTAACCAACTACCCTAAAACTTTAAGGCTTAAAACACCATGTTATTTTTCTCTCAATTTTGTGGGTTGGAAATTCGGGAAGAACGTAGCTGGATCACTCATCTCTAATCCATGTGGTGGTGTCACCTAGGGCTAGAGGATCCACTTCCGAGACAGCTACTTTTCTCCTGCATCTGGCATTCCAGTGCTACCTGGCCTGTCTGTCTCCCCAAAGCATCTCATCCTCCAGGGTCGCTTTGTGTAGTTTGGGCTTTCTACCACCTCAAAAACTCCAGACTTCTTACATGGCAGCTCAGGACTCCACGAGCTAGTGTTCTGAGAGGCCCAGGTAGAAGCTGAAAAGCTCATGACACTTCAGCCATGTTCTATTGGTCAAGCAGGTCAATAAGGTGAGCCCAGGTTAAAAGAGATAAGTCACAAAGCACTTGGAGCCATCGTTAATCTACCACTATGACTATACTATTAATANTATTTACTTCATATTTTTTCAAAGCTATAATATTATTTTCATTTATTCCATGGAGTTCTTTTGTTGTTGTTTTGAATGCCTGTTGAATAGGCTGAGTCAAAGGTCACCACCCCATGGAATATCTTTCCTACCTCACCCAAAGTTAGTTGATTTTTTTTTTTTTTTTTGCTGTGATCCTATTGCATTGTAGGTTTCGATGTGAGAAATTACTTTGTTTTCTCTATTAGACTATTTTATTCGTTGTGGTAGTTGCCCCTATGCTTTATACATTTTTGTTTACCCCCTAACTAACATAGCTCCTGGAGTACAGTGAAAGATCAGTAATTGAATACATGCATAAAAGAATTGATGTTCTAGCTCATCTCCTAAATATGGCTGTTCAGATTGTGCATTGCCATGTAACCAACTACCCTAAAACTTTAAGGCTTAAAACACCATGTTATTTTTCTCTCAATTTTATGGGTTGGAAATTCGGGAAGAACATAGCTGGGTCGCTCATCTCTAATCCATGTGGTGGTGTCACCTAGGGCTAGAGGATCCACTTCCGAGACAGCTACTTTTCTCCTGCATCTGGCATTCCAGTGCTCCCTGGCCTGTCTGTCTCCACAAAGCATCTCATCCTCCAGGGTCGCTTCGTGTAGTTTGGGCTTTCTACCACCTCAAAAACTCCAGACTTCTTACATGGCAGCTCAGGACTCCACGAGCTAGTGTTCTGAGAGGCCCAGGTAGAAGCTGAAAAGCTCATGACACTTCGGCCATGTTCTATTGGTCAAGCAGGTCAATAAGGTGAGCCCAGGTTAAAAGATAAGTCACAAAGCACTTGGAGCCATCGTTAATCTACCACTATGACTATACTATTAATAAGTACAGTTCACATTTTTAAGCATGGAGCAAAAAGTCAGCCTCCCATACTGACCAATATAGTGGTTTTATGTTTGGAAACTGAAGAAATCATAATAATAAATTAATATTGACATTTACAAAGAGTAAAATTTGATTATCACTTGTTTATTAATTTCTCATTTGTCTATAAGGTATTATATAAAAAGAAATAACATCAGCATGTATCCACATGTATGACCACCACTAAGAAGACATAAGTAAAAGTGCCTTACATATTATTCCAAGAAACTCATCAATATTAAGTTAATCTGAATATTAAAATGAGTTTGTTTCCACCCATAACTATAGTAAAATACACTAATTTAAATCTCACTCCTTTGAAAAGAGGCATATAAGGCATGATCCCTTTTTCAAAGGGCTTACAGTCTAGTTGGAGAAAACTAATAGTACTCATGAAATTATTAACCTCAATTGAAGGCATTATAAAGTATTAAAATGTGTGTCTGTGGCCCCTCCTTATAATATGGTTAAAACTAGTAAATGTAGGAAGTGGAGTTTAAAAAT